GAGAGAGAGAGAGAGAGAGAGAGAGAGAGAGAGAGAGAGAGAGAGAGAGAGAGGCAGGGAGGCAGGCAGGTGGACACATAGGGAGATCATCACTTGTCCTGTTAGTAGACTCATGCTGGTGTTTAGCTCATTGTCCCTTCCTGCTCCATGCTATTGCACAATACAGTACCATACGGCAATATACTGTACAGTGAGCCAGGCGCAGACTGCTCAGCGTATCCTCATCCACACACCTGGCACATCTCCTGCACAAAGGAGGTCAGGATTACACGTTGAGGTGAAGTCCACCTTCTCCCCATTCCTCCTGGGAAACCACAAATTTCCACGCGGCAATCTTAAAGTGGATCCAGGGACAGCACCAGCCACTGTACGAGTCGGCCTACCAGTCGGGACAGTGCGCAAGATTTCAAGTACGCCATCTTCGGCAATTTTTCAAACTCAGAATTTTTGAAAAAAATATCTGAAAAAAGTAAGGACTGTAGGTTGAGTGCTGATTTTTCTGGGGAATATCAGGGGTGAGAAAGATCCGGATGGTGAAAACATACCGGCGGCAGAAATCTGCGTACTTTTGCTCCCTGCTGTTATGGAAAGTATCGGGTCAGTAACTTCCCTTTGGGGACGGTGGTGGGTTACTATGGGCCTGGCTCCACTACTCCCCAAATGTGCAAAAATGAGACTGAATCCTCCGCTAGAACATGGAAAGATACATTGCTAAATCTTTTTTTCTTTTGTGCATGTGGAGAGTAGTGGAGCGAGGCCCTATCTCTGCCCACAGGTCCATGTCATTGCTTGTTTGTTGTACTACAATGGTCCTAATCAACACGGAGAAACAGCAGCCTGAAATATAGAATGAATCTCAAACTCAGCCATGTCTCCCATACATCCTCTACTCTAGTTTAGCCTCTACTACCGTCTTCACCCGAAGAGAATGCCCAGTCATTATAGCTGTATTTGGTGCATCTCGCAGTCTAGTGATAATGACCGGGGAATGTGGACATTCTATTTGGGTAAAGATGGTACTAATCTCAGAGGAATTGCAAGGGGCTCTACAAATGGCAGAAATATTCCCCTGCAGTCCCCACCCGGGGCTGGGCCATGCAATGTGTCTGGCCATCTTCTCATTCTGGAAAAAGCCAGATCAAGGGAGGGGATCTTACAAACTAAACACATCCTTGCTGACCATAAACCGCTTCAAAACCTATCTGTAAGAAGTCTGGGCCTATTGACGCCAACAAAAGGAACTGATCCAGGACGACATATTATGGTTCAACAATGGTTTGGCATTCCTGGGCTCTGCAATTGCAATGAATACTAAAAACTGCTCGCAGTTCGATGCAACGCAGAAGAGATGGACCTTCAACATAGATTACATCTCCAACAACAAGAAGATGATACGAGTAGCGCCACAAGGTCAATAAAACTAGCCAATGAGATACAAGCGCTGGAGGCTCAGATCTTAGAACGAATGGAACACCTATCGCAGGGCCTTAGGATCCGTGGAAAACTTCACAAACACAACATGGAAGGAGCCATGGACACAAGATTTTTTGCAATGGCTATGAGAAAGCTTGGACGATTGGCTATAGAAGCCTTGGAGGATCCGAACGTCCACCAAGGCCCGCTGCTAACATCATCAACAACCTGCACAAAAATAGCAAGGGAGTTCTATCAAAACCTCTTCACATCAGAGTTACACTCTGATTCAACCAGAGGTGCAAAGGCTAAAGGAAATTGACGAGTTTCTGCCCCCCCTCACCAGAACACTGACGGATCAACAAAAAGAACTGCTAGAAAAACCTCTTACAAAGAGAGAAGCATGGACAACACTGATGCTTATGGAGGAGGAAAAAAACCCAGGCATGGATGGTCTACCCGAGGAATTATGGGCGATAGTGTGGGAGGACATCTCACAGGACCTAATAGACTTCTGTAAAGAGATGTGGGAGGTAGGCCGGACAGGGGAATTTGTAGGCCAAGGGGATCTAACACTCATATACAAAAAAGGAGCAATGACGAATATAAGGAACTATAGACCAATCACACTCCTAGCAATGGTCTACAAGATGGTGGCTAAGGCACTGGCAAATCGATTGACCGAAGTAACGGATGATATTATACACCCAAACCAAACAGGGTTGATAAAAAACATAAACATATCCTGTTAGTCAATGAGATGGTCAAGCTAGCAAGACAGTCTAAACGAACTGCTGCAATCATCTTCATTGATTTTGAGAAAGCCTACGACCACGTGGACTGGATATTCCTCGATAAATGTTTGAAAAAACTTAACTTCGGACTCAGATTCAGGCAATGGGTACAAATCCTTCATAAAAACACAACAACTGGAGTCATGGCCAATGACAACCTGGCGTTGCCGATCAACCTGCGAAGATCCGTGAGACAAGGTGATCCGTTAGCCCCATTTCGTTTCGTCATAATCATGGAAGTGCTTGCAGCAAACCTGAGAAACCACAAAGACATCCAAAGAATACAAGTATCCTCGATTCCAAAA